TATTAATTAAACCTACAACTCTACTATCTTTAAACTGCATCGCTTACAAAATTTTAATAATATTTAATACAAAATATAATTTTACACAAATTTTTAATTTAAAATTTAATATAACATTGTATATTGTTATTTTAGATCACTGGAAATTCCAATAGCATGCGAAGCTTGTGTAGCGTTTGCAAAAATAATTGAAGGGTTGGTTGAGAAAGAAGTTCCAAAGGTAAATATTTTTACTTTTGACTAATATATTTTTCATATAATTATTAAAGTCTACAGTATGGTAGTCTAATATCGTCGAGACAAAAAGTTTTAAAGAATGTTTATTGATATAAATTTTCAGATGATTAATTCATAGCAGTTAAAGAGTTAGGGGCACATTTTGCAAGGAGAAAAATACACTTTTCAGCAATTGATACTCGAAGGAAAGATAGAGGGTAGGAGTAGTCTGGGACGTAAAAAATGTCATTGCTGCGCAATATTCGACAATGGATAGGAATCTACAGCTATGAAATGCTTCGCAATGCTGCTAAAAACATAATTATTTAATCTTGAATATTTAATATCTCACCTGACAAGACTATGTACGGTGGACGCCTACGCAGGAATGCACGACATCTTAAAAAGAAGAAATAAATGAGTATAATAGAGAAGCCTTAATAAAAAACTCCACTGGCCCTAGGTGGGTATGGTGAACGACTTCATCTCCTATCTGCATTAGAAAGTAAACAGCCTAGACAGCTGGGACATTTTTGGGAGGTTATATGACCTACCGTGAATAACATAATAAATCAATACTACAATATGTATGTAACTATGCCGTCAATTCTCATCGGTACTCAAAGCATTAGGGTTCAAATTACGGGCTGCTCCTTAGATTTCTCACCTCTGTTTCAACCAAAGTGTACGGCGTTGCATAAAAATTATTCTATATAATATTGTGAAACTTTGTGTATACATGCCGTACTGTGTCAAATTGCCGAAAATGGGGAAAAGTTTCTCCGAAAATAAAAAAATTTTAAATTTCTACTTCCTCTCCCCTGAACAGCCCCGCCCCATGAGTGGTAAATTTCGCTTTCTACCGATAACAGTATTGACGGCATAGTTTCTGAAGTTTTTATCACAGATTGTAGTATTGTTTAATATGCGCTTCATGCTGGGTCAAACGACCCATTAAAAATCTACCATGGGCTTGTAGTCTAGCCTCGGAGCTATATGAAAGTAAAATTAAAGCAAATAAAATAAATCCAATAAAAAAATACGAATATTCTTGCTAAGAAACTCAAGAGAAATTGAATGAAAAGATACACGGCGGGGAATATATTGTTTATGTATAGTTTATAGTAGAATAACAACAGAAGAAATATCTTGGAAAGAAGTAGCAATATTGATAAAAGAAAAACATTTAAAATGTCGAGGTAATAAATGAGAAAATATTTTTAAGGTACATGTGACGGTCATTAGAAAATAAATACTCATATATACAGTTACCAGCTGAAGTCCGTTTGAAGAGGTTTACTCTCCGGACGCTGGAACTCACTTAAGACATGGGTGTATGTTACCTAAAGGTAAATTTAATTTAATATTAAACATCAAATGTTAATAACAACATTATGTACAATCTTTTGTAACCTTATGTATTTTAAAGGGTTTTTACCCTGATATTTTTGTGGCTCAGGCATGTTAACTTGCATTTTTAAACCTGATGATGGTATTATTATTCCGAAAACGTTCGTGTAATTTGATGTAACCCTTTTAAGGGTTTTTTAAATATACCCATTTACAACGATCTAACCTCTTTTTTGTGATACATGGTATACACCCAGTTGCAGGAATTATTTGCCTTGTGGATTTTACTAATATATACAATAATACATACATGCACCTACAAATATTCAAACAACTCAGATAGAGAAAGTCTTTAAAAAAATTATTAGGTTGATTTTAGACGTATGAAAAAAGAAAAATAAAATAATACCGAGAGACTTGAATCTTGAGAGAAAAATAAACTCCGTTTTGCCGTAGCACAACAATTTTACCAAACAAATGTACTATGTTTATTGGTGTTTATTTTTTTTGATGATTCATTATGTCTCGCGTTGTATATTTCTAGATCTGTTTCTGTCAAAAGACTTTTTAAGGCGCATGAAGCACATGTAAGCTGTTTGGTCTAATTTAATTGCTTTTTTAAGTATCTGACGTATAATAAATTTTACGTCGATCTGACCTGTTTCGTCAAAAGCTCTGTTATTCTTTACATATTTTAGTTTTTTTTTACTTTGAGTGATACAATTTACGTCATTATTTTCATAACAGTGCTTGTGATATTTATACCACAATAGGTTTTGAATCGTTTTTGTTCCCTTTTTGATTGTATATTGGGTCAGTTTTTTTACTCTTTTCACCTACTGGGATGATTATACTTATCAGCTATCTGCTTGATCAGTATTTGTAAGCTCTGCTACTTAACATTTTACTGTTACAAACGAAGAAGTAGACTCATCCAAACTAAAATCTAATTCAGCTTTTATATTTCTTGAACAGAGGCATTTCAAATAAAAGTATTGTGTTACATGATGACTAGTTTACTTGATTTTTACATAACGACTGAAAATCGTCACTGAAAAAGGTTTTCAACCTTAAAACATATAGTTCACAGATTGTGTTCTTTCTAATACAATGATATTTGTTAAACAGCTATAATTTTTGTTTAAAGTTTAAGTTTAACAGCAGCTCTCTTAGTCTTTAAAATCCATTTTAATTTTTGTCAGCAAGACACTCTAATCAGAAGATATCGAATGCTTACCGTCGAGTTCATACAAATTTTATTTAAAAACAAAAATTTATTTCGCTCATGTAACTGAAATTAAAAATCGATGGTCGCTTGAAGCGTTGGTTCTGAGAGAACATTTCATTCTACACAAAACGCTCTAATTAATATTTTTGTTCAAAACTATCTCGGCCACATTTCTTGTTTAAAACATTTCTTGTGGTATTTTAAATTAATTACTATTTAACTGGGAATAAGCCACAATTAAAGATAAAGTAAACTTTGAAAATAAGGCTATTATCGAGCACAAGTTAATTAAATCTAGCCCAAGTACTTTCGATTCAAATAGCATCTTCAGGGGCATTTCGTCAAAATAAGAACTATCCGGCAAGCGTAGGATGTGGAAACATTAAAACTAACATAAATTATACAAAACACTACACTAAAACGAGGACAAACAGTTTAAAATTACTTCTACGCTACATTCTCTGTCAGTTTCTGGAGGGATAATCATTATATCACATTATCCGGGAGGGATCATTATTCTGGAGGGATAACATTATCCCTCCAGAAACTTCAGGCAAATGCCAGAAGAAAGTGGAACTGAGTGGCACAATTTTTAAAATACTACTAAATAAAACTGTTTCAATGATAAAAAAAATTGAAAATAAAACGTCTACATTTTATTTAAATTGCTGATTATATTTATAGCTAGTAACCTTATAGTAATCAGGAGTTTTTCATCTAAAGAAGCTCTCTGGAAACAACAGCCGAGCTATGGTGCACGTTGATAAGATTGTAAGGATGTACCCAGTATTTTCTTTTTCTCATCATTCTACGCCTAAAATAATAAACTTGAGCTCAGAATTATAACTGAACAGAATTGTGCTTCCACCATCATCGTGCTGTCGCGACGATTTATCGTCCGTTCTATTTGAACCTTCCTACCAATATATCGTGGCGATAAAAGGTCGCTTATCGGATATCGCCCGAGTATGAACGCCGCCTTAGGTCTACTAACGATAGTGTACTGGTACATTCGTTTAATAATTTGATCCTATTTTCAATAACTTTGTAAAGAAAGTCTACCTACGACCATTTTTTTTTAAACAAAGTATTACATAAAATAAATCCAACAGTAAATAAATATAATAATCTATTTTCAGGAAACTGTAGAAAAAGAAGCAGAAAAGCTTTGTGAGCTGCTTAGTGGTACTTTAAAAACATTTTGCGAAGATCATCTAGTAAGTGTGGTTGATGTTATATACGACGCCATTTCCAAATCCACGCCACTTTTAGTTTGTACTGCTTTACAATTTTGTTTATAAATGTTTAAGTAATTAATTGACTATTTTATTATACCTACTCGCTTTTATTGTCTATTCTATTTGCCAAGTTATCAAAATATGAAAAACATATTATAATTGTGATGGATTCGACCGTTACTTGATAGAGATTCATTTTATATAACAATAAAACACTGAAAACTTCTGTTTTTAATACTTTCCCAAAATTTACTTGAGATGGGCACTTTGACCGAAACAGCTGTAGTTATAATAATTTAAAATAAATTTTGTGGAAATGTTGAACACGAAAGGTTACAGTGTTTTATTGTTAGATATTATACCTAATTGTTTCGAAAAATCATCACTAAGTAGAAAGCTTTAGAGATATATCAGTAATACCTACAAACAGAATGTTGTGTGGCACCTGCCTTTGGAACAAGGAATGAAATAAAGAAATATAAACTAGCGGAGACTAATACTATTTTAACAGGAGAACTCTTTGCAATATATAAAGCCGTAAGTCACGTTACAAAATGTTCTGAAACTAACTTCTTAGTAATTACTGACCCACTAATTTCTCTAGAAATCATTTCAAAAATCTATTCTTCCCATCCTGTGGCCAAACTCATTAGACATGAATTGCACAACCTTAATCACAGAAAAATTGCTTTCCTGTGGGTGCCATCTCATATTGGAATCACGGGAAACGATATGGCGAATAAATATGAACTAGAAGCCTAAGAGGACAACTATTGAGTTCTATCCAAAAACTCCAGCGACATATCTCAAATCATATTTCCACAGCAAAATAATTGACATATGGAATAGCAGATAGCACATAAAACAGGCAAAATTACTTCAACCAAACCGTTGAGCTTCTCCGTCGTATGACTGACGTACGACTGACTTGGGCAGCCTTCGGCAAGCTGAACCATATTTTCAAATCGTCTGATATAACAATATGCCTTAAAAGAAAAACCTTTAATCAGTGTGTTTTGCCAATGTTGACTTACGGTGAGGAAACGTTAACCATGACAAGGAGAACAGTTCAAAAGATCCGTGTGTATCAAAGGGCAATGGAGCGTACTATGTTGGGTATTTCACGACGGGGCAAGATCCCAAATCGCCAGCTACGAAAAAGAACAAGAGTGGCTGATGCAGTAGAGAGAGTAGCAACTAGGGATGGGAAAAACCTACCGGTTTTAACCGAAAACCGGTTTTTTTACTTCGAAATAACCGGTTTTATCGGTTGCTTTTTTGTCCTGGTTATAACAGGTTTTTTATTTTTAAAGAAAAAACCGGTTATTAGGTGATTAGGATTAGGTTAGGTATTATTTTGGATCCCACCCAATCATAATTATTATTCTCAAGTAATTACTCCAAACAAAACGAAAATTCATTTTTTATTTTATTTTATACATGCAGAAGCAAACTGAAAGTGCAAACTTACATCAGCCAGAAACAATTAAATTTTATTATAGTATTTCGTTGAAAAAGTATTTGTAATCATAATATTTTTACATAAGAAGTGATCTGGTATTTATACATCATCTATTTTTCACACTTGACTCTTGACATTGAAAGAGGGTGAATGGCTTTTTCTGATTACCAAAAATAATGACTATGAATATCGAATTACCGATTACGAATACGAATCTCCAAGGATTTCCCTACGTTTTCAAAACGAGTTATACTCATACCGGAAGTGGTAAATGAGTTAAAAGTAATACATCATTAATTTTTTTTGATGGTAGTAAAAATAAAAGATAAATTGCATTATCCAATTTATTTTTAAGTAAAATATTTACGTTGATAATATATTCCTTAAATCCCATTTGAAAGAGTGTGGGAAATTTTTGTTGGGGAATTTTTTTCTTACAAAACACAAAAAAATGTGTTGTATTTACATTGATATTGATGTTCTTTCGATAGTACTAATTTTGATCATATTGATATCGAGTCGAATGTAGTATCGCAAACTAAAGTGCATTGTAAATGTAACTTTATAATCTATTGGATTAAAAAAACCGAAAATCGGTTTTTGTAAAAACCGGTTTTTTTTTGACCGGTTATAACTGCCAGGTTAAACCAGCAAAAAAACCGGTATAACCGAAAACTGGTGTTTTGTCAAAAAGCGCTATCCCTAATAGCAATACTGAAATGGAACTGGGCAGGTTACGTGGCTCGAATGACAGATAATAGATAGACAAAGCGGATACTGGAATGGAGACCAAGAGATGATGCCAACCGAAGTAGAGGTCGTCCACCAACACGTTGGACTGACGATCTAAAACGTTGTCATAGGAATTGGATACAAGAGGCACAAGATCGAAATATATGGAAAATTATGAGGAAGATCTATGTCCGCAGTGGATAAGCAAAGACTGAATGATGATGAAAAGCCTAAGAGCGTAAGAATGTATCCATTGAATTCAGGCAACTGTTGGGTAATCTTCTTTGGATATCTACGTCACAGAACAAGACACCCTGGCATCCTTCGGCAGAGTAGAATACTAGACCAGAAGACCCTAGGTTGGTGCCGGATTAACCGTGGTTTGGCTAAAACCTTAACCACCGTTCCAGAGAGGTTGTCTTGCCACTCAATAAACAACGGAAAAAACAAAAATTTATAAATAACCATACCTATTACCGTAAATTTCCCTGTCTATCTACCTGCTCCTTATCAACTTCCCTCCTGCTAAACTTTTTTTGAAAAATAAAATGTATAAAAGCATAACAAAACAACAATATATCGCCGTGCGAGCACTTATGTGTATAAAATCCCTGCCAGTACTTAAAGGTTAATAATACCCTTAATAATTTATAAAAACTTGAAAACCGAAAATAGTTTTAATACAAGGAGTTTTTTCGCTATGTTACAGAATCAATTTAAGAGAAAAAATTTAAAAACAGTTATTAGTTTTAAACGTGTTTTCTCATTGTTAATAGTTTTTTTTTAATCTTTTCATTAAATTTATTTCTAGTCGTTTTACAAGTTATGGATTTATTTTCATAACTGTCAAATAATTATAATTAGTACCTATTTTTTTCTAAATTAATTTTGTTGACTTAAAGCCATGGTTAACATTGACATGCAACCATAATATCACTCGACCGTTACAAATAACTGCTGCTTATTTATAACTTCAAATTTGTTTCCACTTTTTCTGTTAATTTTGTTTCTTGTAAAGCTATGACATTTTATTTTAGTCTGTTAATAAACTCGTGCAGAATGCTGATTTTAGTACTCAGCCCTCCTGACTTTCATAACCTAATTTTAAGATCGTCTATCTAGTGTCCTGTTATTGTAATGACGGAGGACATTTTTTCTAGGATACACGCAAAATTGTCAGTGTGATTGTCTTGCTAGTTAATAATCATATTCATATGAGGTATAGTTAAAAAGCTGTAATTACGTACTTGTAAGAACTTGATATCTTCTTCTTCTTCTTTTTTATATAGACATGACTCTGTCTGTTTCTCAATGTGCCTCCAGTAATGTTATTCCATCCTGTTCGTGGTCTTCCTACTGATCGTCTTCCTATTGGGGAACCGTCTCCTGCCGTCTTTACTACTCTATTTGTTGTCATGCGGCCTATATGATCGTTCCATTCTACTCTTCTATTTCTTACCCAGTTTTTGATGTCTCCATATGGTACCTATATCGTATATCTGTACTTGTAGTTCTGTCTCATAGTGTTTTACCATCAATTTTTCTTAGTGTTTTCATCTCTGATATTTTAACATCCTTCTTTGCCTCTCTGTGTCAGGTCTTGTTTCTGCCGCATGTGTCTTTATTGGTCTAATGACTGTTTTGTAAATTCTGCCTTTCGTTTCTTTTCCGATATTTTTAGTTCTTCATATTGTTTCGTTTAGGCAGCCTGTGGCTCTGTTTGCTCTATTCACTTGATCTTCCACTTCGGTTTCAAGCTTTCCGTAGCTAGATAATGTGATGCCTGAATATTTAAACTCCATCACTTGGTCTATTATCTGACCTTTCAGCTCCAATTTATCTTAGTAAATTTGCTGTTGTAACAATGTATTTTACCTTTTTTTGGGAAAATTAACATGTTAAATTTTCTGGCTATTATATTAAATTGGAGAGAGTAGTATTGCATCGTCTGCAGAGCAGATTACTTTAAGTTGTTTTTCTCCCATTTGGTATCCTTTTTTAGTTCCTACTTGTTATATTATTTCATCCATAATCATGTTGAACATTAGAGAACTTAGGGAATCTCCCTGTCTTACCCCATTACCAGCTTCAATAGGGTCGGTTAGTCCTTCTTCTACTTTTACTTTTATTGTGTTGTTTTGGTAGATTTTTCGATCATTTTGATTATTCCTAGAGGTATATATCTTGCATACAGTAAGTGGATAACATATTTTAATTTAACTTTGATGGTATACAAGGCAAAAAATATTTTCTGGGAAAGTAAATGCGAAGAACTCAACAAATATATAGGGTCAATAAGATCAAGAGAAGCATGGAAAACGGTAAAAAATCTAAGAACAAACAGAATAATCTTGGATCAAATTTGGATCTTGGATGAAAAACAGAAAAATCTTGGATCGAACACTACTCACAACTTTTGACTGAAATAAGACCTCAATTCACGAACATCAGTACAACAACATATGAACTAAAATTCAGTGAAGACGATGAAATAACAGTACAGGAAGTCGAGAATGCAATACGAGCTCTAAAAAATGGGAAGTCATGCGGACCACAAGGTATACCAAATGAATTATTAAAACATAGCCCACAAGTGTTACGGGAATTACTGGCGTATGTCTTCACCTTATTCTATAATGGACACGACTTACCACCGGAGTGGACAAAAATTATGCAAGAAAGTGCTGCAATATGGGCATCCCAATCGGAGATGATAGATTGTACACGATACATTTCGCTGATGACCAAGCCATTCTAGTTGAAAACGAGAGTAATATAAGCTACATGCTTAGAAAACTGGAAGATGAGTACACCAAATGGGGCCTCACAATTAATATAAAAAAAACTGAGTACTTAGTTGTAGGAGAAAAACCAGAAAGCCTA